TTGTACATTCGATGAGAAACAAAACTACTTCCAGGATATGAATCATCAAGGAGTTTAAGGAAGATGTAATCTCTTGTAAAGAAAGACTATTTATAGAGTTACCTTTTCACACGCTGCCACCGATACGAAACCAAAAGAAAAAACAAAAAAAAAAAAACCTAGCACACTTTTAAACCACCCCCTTTGGATTATTTTCAGAATGAGGGATGCAATTTAATTACAGCAGTCCTATCTTCTAGGGCTGGTCAAATGGACCCCCCCCCCCCACCTGCAAAAATATGAACAAAATAGAAATTGAGATTTGGATTAGGGGGCTGGGGCACAGGACTTGTGAGAAGCTGAGGGCACTGGGCTGATTCATTCTAGAGAAAAGACTGAGAGGGGACTTGATTAGCAGCCTTTCAAGGGGGGCTGCAAAGAGGCTGGAGCTGGGCTGGTCTCAGTGGGGGCAGATGGCAGGACAAGGAGCAATGGGCTCAAGCTGCAGCAAGGGAAGTTGAGGTTGGATATTAGGAAAAACTCCCTAGGAAGGTGGTGAAGCAGTGGAGCAGGTTACCCAGAGAGGTGGTGGACTCTCCATCCTTGGAGGTGTTGAAGACCCGGGTAGACAAAGCCTTGGCTGGGATGATGGAGTTGGGGCTGGCCCTGCTTGGAGCAGGGGGTTGGACTGGATGTGACCTCCTGAGGTCCCTTCAACCCCCCTTGTCTATGAGTCACTCATTTCTCCCAAAAAGTTGCATCTCTTTTGAAAAGAACCAAAACCAGAACAAGCCACTCTCACACATCTTCCCCCTGCCCCCAAATTCAACCTGGAACAGAACTACGACGACGGTCTTCTGCATCGTTTCCATTTCCCCACCTTTGTTCTCTTCTCCTTACCAATCAAAATGAATGGAGAACGTTTTCATTCCATACAAATTGCCAGTCAAGAAGTTCCAAAAGACAAAGATTCATGAAAATTATTGCAACAAGTCAAAATTGCCCTTCTATTTAAAAACACACACACACACACACACACACACACACACACACACACACACCCTCCAGCCAGCTCTGCCTTAATTATACCCAATAGAATATTAGACCAGCAGTAAGAGCCAGGAAAGCTGTCTGGAGCAAAGCTTAGAGGTCCCCCAGCCTCCTCAGATCCCGGGCAGACTGAAACCCAGGTCAGGTCTGCCACTGAAGGAAAGCTTCCACGGATAAATGAGAAGATAAAGTCCACAACAGACTTGCACTAATAAAAACACCAAAATAAACAGAACAGATGACAATCTTCTGTACTGCTTCAAGAAAATTGTGTGATATCACAACTATTGTTGGGAGAGACCCTAAACAAACTTTTGAGCATAAAAAAAACCCAAAGACTTTCCTCCAGTCTGGGGGGGGCGTGGAAAGCAGACCCAGTCAAGCCCTCCGACATGCCTCCCAGGGAAGGGATGACAACGGATGGATCACTTTAAACATGCCCTGTCCTTCCAGCATCTCCTACTTGCCACGGCTGTGAAGACAGCAACTAGATGGACCCTTGGTCCAAACCCAGTATGAAGTTTCTATTCAAAAGCGAAAAAAAGATTTTGTTTAACCCCATTATGCAGATGAAAATTATCACTGAGAGAAGAGTGTAGTTATATTCCCTAAGCCACCCCAGACACACCACTACTGGTAAAACTTTGTCCTTTTTTACTTCGTGAACTGATGCATGCATATGACTTCCCTCTACCAAGGGAGATCCAAAACCCTCTGCCGCATCAGACACCCTTTACAAGATTTTTCCTTTGGTTCGCATGTAAGGAGCCCTGCTTCTTTGCAATGATAAATTTACCATCACTGCTTCTCCGGTCACAGTACCAGAGTAACACCTGAGAGTCCCAGACATGGCAACAGACTTGTTACAGTATAAATATATATTTAAAGTTGCATAATTGTTTTTCCAAAATAGCTGCCACTGCTTCAGAATCTCAACTGGGTTGTTAGATTCCTTGTCCTCGCCAACAGGGATTCCCGTCATTATGCCGTTTTGGAGCCAAGGCCCCATTTGATGCCAATCAGCATTTCAATTACAAAGAAATCACTCTATTGCTCCTCTGTATTAGATGAATATAACTGCAATTTCCTGTGTCACGCTTGTTTTAAAGATGCATATAAAGACACATTTCTTTAGTGACTAACCTTTGTGTCACTGTTGGGAAATCATCGTCATCCTGTGATTTAAGGTAGTAATTCCCTATATTTTGCGACACACTAGCACTTCCCTTACAAAGGCAATAAGAGTTTATTATACGCAAAGGCCTCCATTGGGAGAGATGCCCAAACTAGCCAGCAACTGGTCAGAACAGAGATGAAATATGAGAGAGAAAAGAAACAGGTAATGTAAGGAAGCAAGAGACCGACGAAAGTCCTGCAGACATTATTGCGATTTCAAATTGACAGCCCTTGTGCCACTTCGAAGGAACATAGCACAAGAGAGAGAGGAATGCATGGACATATAATGCATAGTTGTTTCCTGAACAAATAGGTTTTAAAAGCTATGAGAAACAGATCTGGGCAATATGCGATTCAGCGACCAGGACAGAGATATGAGACCCTTATGTCAAGCAACTAAGTTGTGATTTCAATCTCCGTTCTGGAAGTCGGAGCCAGTTATTACAGGCAGACCATAATTACTTAGGACAAGACAAACGAGGGAACGACGCGAGGTGAACTACGACCAATTAATAGGCATCAATTCTTAAAGAAGTTTCCGTTGGAAAAAATAAAAGCTTAGCCAAGGTTAACCAAGTAATCAAGCCAAAATCATATTTAAAAGCAGTAATAGTATGGCAATAGATATTTAAAGTATGGTTCAGAAATATTAACAACCTTTCCCTTGAACCGAGTCAAGTAGTCCGTGCCTGGACTTGACAGATGAAGTGTAACCTAAGCTTGGGAAATAACTATTCACGTATCGTGGCAGAAAAAGCGTGGTGCAGTATCACCGTAAAGAACAGACGGTGAATGTTGAGGCCTCCCCACTGTCAGGCTAGCTGTTCACGTGCAGAAGCTGCCCAAAATAAATCCTTGCAGAGAAGTAAAGGCTAATTTATAAAACTTCCAGTGAAGTTTCTGGGCACCTGACTTCCTTCCCAAAGACAAAAACAAAAGAGACATCTTTCAAAACAGCCCACAGCTCCTCATTAAAGAGGGCAGCCAAGGATGCATATACATTACTAATGAAGAATTGTGCAGGTGAGATATTTCTGCTCAACACCTTTGTACACAGACATGCACAATGTACACTGAATGCTCGGTAATGAAGGATTCCTTCTACTTCCACTGTACCGACACTACAGTGCTAGGTCTAAGCATTTCTCCTTGCCCCAGCGCTCCAGGCTGGCATCTCTACACTTCGCACGCACCCACAAAACCACGCACGCAAAGCCCTGAGGAGGCAGGGAAGCAGCATGATCCACACATTGCAGGCCTGAAAGCGGCACAGAGATTAAACAACTTGCCCTCCGTAACGTGGAGGGCTGGAGCAGTGCCGAGCATTTAAGCTTTAATTGAAGGGTGGCTAGTTTTTTCATACAAACATAACCATTTTGGGTGCAGTTTGTATTTGTTTAAAGCCCATGTTACGCGGGTGTAACCCCTAGTGCCGATGCATTCCGACCAGCATGAAGCACCTTCCCATTATGGCACCAGTTTAAAGTACCTTCAGCCCAGTAAACCTGTCCATACAGAAGAGTGGGGAGGCAGCTCTACAGCTATTTAACCGTATCCCCGAAGTGACACAACTTGTGTTTATACAAGCTTTCAAGGACAAGGTCAACTTCCCTGTCTATCAGAGACACCAGCTTTTTGGCACAGCCTGGCTTGGGAAACAAATTATTCAACTTTAGGTTTCTTGCTTGCAATATAAGAACTGAATTCTTGATGTTCAGACAGTAGCTTGGATAGGATCCAGACCTCTTGGTTTCCATTTCCAATTTTAAAAGATGTTTACAAGAAGTTTATTCTGTACAAGTTTGGCTGCCTTCATAAAAACCCCATGACCCACAAGTCAACTTCACTGAGCACAGAAGAGCATCAAAAGCTACTGGATGCTGCTCTACACAAATTAGTAGACTTCAGATATCGTTACTGATATAATTTAACTCCATTTTGTCCCACTGGGGCAACATCAGATTAAGCACAACGTCTAGCCCTCCAATGATTTTCACAGAAGTAAGGACCGCTTGTAAAGACCTGGGCAGACAGCAAAGCACGCTGCACGCTGCACTGTTAGTATGGCTCAAAGTCAGCGCACACTTTCCGACTTCTGGAAATGGTCAGTGAATGCATCTGCAGGTAGAAAAAGGATTGCAGTCCGTCTGAAGAGGACACATTGCAAGTACAAGCTTATTGAAAACAAGCCAGCAGTCACTGCTGCTAAGCGGAGATTCCCCTCTTCTATACACACCATTGTATTTGTCACCGGAAAGAGCAGAAAAGGTGGAAAACCCTAACCAAGACAATGACTTGCCTCATCAGGATGCATTAAAGGAACAAGCATAGAGGAACGGCAGCATGGAAGCTCTACAGCTTCCGATTAAAAGGGCTCTGCTTGCTGACCTTTATAAGGTTTTTGGTTTGTTTTTTAAAGAAAGGCGATGACAGTAGTAGACTGCATTTGACTTCAAAAGGCCTTTCCCTGCCACGAGGAATCCCAGGACCCCGCAAGCCTGGCCTGTATCTCTGCTATTTAAACAGTTGACAAGAGCAACAAAGAACAGAGTGCAAGTCTCAGAAACACATACAAGTAGGGACTGTCCTGCCTCCGCTTGCTTCGAGAACTGCAGTCTAATCAAGTGACAGAAGTAGCGTGCGCAAGCCAGCAGTTTGCAATGGCTTCTTGCAACGGTCTAAGATTGCTCCTACTTTCTAATGCCTGACCCTATTAGGAACATCAGAAACATCTGACCATTTTTGTAAGCTTAAAACAATGGAAGGCAAGTAGGAAACTCCCCCGTACAAGTTACCTAAACTGCAGGCTTGCCATTTGGAACCCATTCGGTGGTTATGTATCAGGAAGTCAGACACCTACAACGTAAACAGATAGCTGTTACCATACGCACATCAATCGCTTCAGCAGCAATTTGCTGGACCAGTATTTCAAGCTGCAAGTCACCCAGATGAGATGGGCTGCTTTTTACTGGCAGAGCAGGATACTCAAAAGCCACGCACAGCTGGAGGCCCAACTTCTTTGCAAGCACCAGGACACAGTGCACTGGGACTGCAGGAATCAGGACTCGTGGTAGAGGTGATTTCTTTTCTTAGACCAACTAGATTTTTGCAAAAAAAATTCTTTATTTGCAAGGGGTATTTTGAACTCACTGACAAGAGGCGCATGTAGTCTTGCTGCAACTACATGGGACAGCCGTTCTGTTTCGTGGCAGGGCTGCTGCACCTGCAAGTGCTAGTTGCACCAAATCTCTCATTAAGTTATTAATAGTGTTAGCAAAAGATTGATGTCTCCTGTGCAGCAGCAGGCTGAGGACATGTCAGCATGTTAGCTAGCCTCCCTTTGCAGTACAAATACATCCCCACAGCTATCAATTCAACAAACCAGAGAAGGAAGCATCTTGAGAGGAGCTAAAGATTTGCAAATCTGTCCACACTGCCAAAAAAGTCACGATTAGTAAACTTATATGGTCACTTCACTTGTCGACACTAGAAGAAAATTGAGCGTGCACGTTTTAAAGATAGCGGGCAATACATTTCCCCCGGTATCTGTGCGGCAGATTGAGAGCTCAGAGGTACCCTGCTTTGATTTATAGCAAGGAAGATTAAAAAGCCAAATCCAAGATGAGGGGCTGCAAAGTCCGGATTTATCTGGCCGACAGTCACCGTGTATTAAAGCTGTGGTAGCCATGCTCAAATTTAAGCAAGCCATTTCACAGATCTTATAAAATCTCTCTCCCCACTTCTGCTTCCTTGTTCTGAACAGGCTGGGTCATCAGGCACTTTCAGGCCTGGACTAAACAATGGATTTGGAGGCACCCCTCAAATTTGTGGGCATTCAACTAGAAACCTGTCCTTCTAGAAAGAAGGGCCAGATCTTAAAAGGTTCTGGGTGAAACTTCTGTGCACAAAGAAAACCGGGATCCTAAAAGCTGCTCAGCTTCCCCCAGGCATTTAAATGGCTCCCGCACCGCCCCTTTTGACCTTAAGATCCCTGCACAGGCCTGAAAAGGCCATTACAGCACATCTGTGCAAGCCCCTCCATTTTGAGAGGGCTTAGCAAGCAGAGGTGCTGAGTATGGTAGGCATGCTTCAGGATGAAGCACCCTCGAAATACAGCGGTGCCTGCCATTGAAACAAAGCTGGAAAGGGTGGTACCCCCCTGCTGCACCCTACATTATAGCTTTGCAGCAAAAGCACATCCCCAGGCTGTGGGCGAGCCAAGGTACATCCCTTCCTTGGACCCGGAGGGTTTTCAAGCCCAAGTATCCCAGAAAAGCACCCGGCAGGCCACTCTGCATGCAAACCACCCCGAGCTCCTAGGGAAGTTGGGCTACCGTGCGGAGGACATGCCTGGAGATTATCCTGGAGGGAGCTTCCCCAGGAGCCCTCACCCCCTGTTCTGCTCCCACAAAGGAGATCACAAGCACCCTTCTCCCTGCTTGGGACTTTGGCAGCAGTATCCAAGACTGTGATTCTCAACCAAGGTGCCAGGGCATCTCAAGATCCTTTTAGAGGGGGTCACATATTAGGGGTGTTACAGTGTGTGGACACCTATGCACCATTTGCAAATATTAGTGGTGTTAGCAGCGCACTCTCCACAAGATGCACTGGATTTCTATCACCTCTGGGTTTGTCGGAACAGCCTGACCCGGTGCAGGTCTTGCCGAGTTTGTTGCAACAGAAACGTAGTTCTGTTATTTTTCTATAGTCAAGAAATGAAAGCAAGCTAAAAGCTGGCATTTTGAGGGGTGCCTCGAGTCAATGAGGTTGAGAGCCGCTGCTCTAAGTCCTCGTACCAGAGCCTGCCTCTCTCCCCTTCCTCTGGCAACTCTTCAGCCAAAGAGCAAGGCATCAAATTCAAAGGGGAAAGCTGCAGAGAACTAGTCTTATTTTTGCTGCTGCCCGATGCAACAGCACTTCCACTGGGTCATTTGCAAAGGACAAAAATGTGTTTTACTCAACTTTATTGACACATCCACAACTCAGCCATTTACATTTCAGCATCAAGAGAGATTTCACTTCCTACAAAAAGTTCGGGCCTGAACTGTCTCTACCACATGGATTCCTAGGAGAGAATCCACCTTCTAGGTTTCTGAAATAAATACCCCCAGTAAAACGATGCTTCCCAAGGTCTCCCACAAGACCCCGGCCACTCTGCGCACTTGCAACCGTTTTTGTGCCCTTCCAAGTACTGACAAAAGCTACGTTGTCAGCGATGAAGGTCCTGCGGTTTACAGATGGATACCGTGCAATTTTTCTCCTTCTAAACTAATCAAAATTGCATCGTGATCCACCCGACAACAGCAAAACAAAGCATAACCACCCGGGCAACTTTAAGAGAGACCTGACGACAAGTCCTCCTTTCCTCCACAGGCCGGGACAAGTGCAATACTCTAAACATAGCTACAAGTAATGCAACAAATCCCCACCCATGGAGAAACCAGTGCAAAAGCCTTCAGTCATCTTCAGGTTTTTTGTTTGGGGGGGGGGGGGGGGGTTGTTTGGGGGGGTATGCTCAGGGACTCATCGTCCACAACGGATTCACCACCACCACAGTCAGTTTTGCATGGATTTGCACAGCAACGGATATAAGCTGGGATGCAAACCTGCAAAACTGACTGTAAGCAGCACTGCTTTCTTCCAAGACACAGCCACCGGCCAACGATGCATTTTATCTGGCAGTACTGTAAGTGCCCACATTACAGTAGATCCAATACAAAAGCTACCTGCACTATGAGCACTTTGATACTGCTAGGACAAAAAAAAGAAAAAAGAAAACAAAAATAAAAACCAGCTCTCTGCCTTGAGCAAAGAGCCCTTGGAAAGAGGGTTGGCCATGCCAGGGCCTAGCTCCAGGCTGTTGCGTGCACCTGCGAGACGAACATGATGCACCTCGTGCCAGAAGGAGCATTTAGGGCAGTAGATTCTAAGCTACTTCACTAACTGCACTAGATGCACCTTAACACAAGGAACATTTGCAAAGCAGCAAAACAAACTCAGTTTTGGTTGCATCTGCACCAGATGACAAATCACTGATTGAATTGCCATGGTAATGCTAGAAGTGCTTATACTGCAGTAGATACCAAAACACTACCTGCACTGTAAGCACTTTTACACAACACAAGGCCCATCCACCAGAAAGAAGCTCTTTTACTTGAGGTCTTCTCCTTCCTTCCCATGGAACAGGCCGAGGACGCGTCTTGTTTCAAGACCAACGAACATACCTGCCAAAACAAGAAAAAAACAACACACACACACACACAAAAAAAAAAAAAAAAACACACACACAAAAAAAAAAAAAACAGATTAATAGATGCATAAAATATTCCCAAATTCAGCATTTATAAAAGTTATTCACGACTACAAGATTCGGCGCAATTGGTTTCGTTATTCAGGTGCAGATTCGAGTTTTTTAAAAGTTCAGATGCATCAATTAAAATTTTTTTTTTAAAAGGCCAAATTGTTTGGCCAGAATTTATTGCCATCAAAAGGAACAAAGCTCCTCATTTTGGGGGGGGGGGGGGGGGGGGGGGGGGGTGTGTGTTTTTT